CCTCACTCTTATTTAAATCAATTTTTTGAAAAATTTGAAAAACTGTGCTATTGCAATCTTAGATTAAAATTTAAGATTAACTGTAAACATTTTTTTTTAAATGCTGCTACTCATTTGGCATTTTATTTAAACTTTATACAACTGCTTTAGGCAAAAAAAATACTAAACCAATGAAGATGCTTCGTTGGTTACAGGAAGTATTTCAATAGGTCTACTTATGCACAAAGAGCTAAACATGTGTGTAGGTGTTTTAGCCACTGATGCTGAAAACTGTATTTTTGTTAATAAAAACTTCTCAATGGCATGAAATCTGTCACTTTAAAATAAACAGATTCAGTTTTTACAATGAACATTTAGAATTCCAGTGAATTACATTTATTGTAAACTTTTGTATACTGACAACATTTTCAAGAATAGAAGCCTACACTTAGGCTTTTGAAAATCAGTGGTATTGGTCAGATTTACATCCATTGATTAGATCAGATAAAAGTTTGAGTAAGGGCTATAGCATTACTGAAGGACCAAATGATTTCCCAAAAAGAAAAACAGATATTATAATTCTGTGAATTATTCCTGTATTTGCTTTAATTAAATTAGTAGCAGCAGTCAACTGAACAACCTCTATGGTTTTTCTTCAAACTGTCTTCTAACACTTCTCTCTCTTTTAAAGTTGCTTTATCAATAGTCTAATTTAATACACTTTAATCTCCTATTTACAATCTTTAATCCTATCACTCCATTTACCTTGCATTCCGAATCTTCTGAAACAATTAATTTAACCCTCAACCTCTGGCTAGTAAATAATAATTGTAAACACGACAAATGAAAGGAGGATGTAACACAAGAAAACATTTACCAAACAATTTCCATATAAATAATATCTCCTCTCCTTAATTATCTATATCACAAGGATTACAATGGTGATTGAATACTAATGAAGCTGCAAATTTAATACCAAGCAATTCAGATAGTCCCTAAAGTTATTCAAAGTCTAGCTCTTTCCTTTATATACAAGATATAATGTTTACAGTTGAACATCTTTATAAATGTATGAACTGTATAAACACACTTGTACAAAATGTCCTATAAACCACATCCGTGCCCTGGAAACACAGATGTCCATACCATTACTCACATTTCACACAATTAATCCCACTAAGGTAACAGCCAAATGTTGAGGATTAAATTACTGTAAATACTCGATCATAAAACGGTTCGTTTATAAGCTGACCCCTCCCAAAATGGATAAGTAAAAATGGAATTTTTTTATAACCCATTCATAAACTGACCCTATAATTCAGGGATCAGCAAACTCTGGCTCCCGGGCCGAGATGGTTTGTTTACCTCGAGCGTCCGCAGGCATGCAGGTAAACCTATGTAAACAAAGTGTCCCAGCGCGCCAGCTGCTTACCCTGATGGGTCGGGACAGCAACTGGTGGGGAAATTTTTTGAGGGGGGGAGAAGCTGGGAGTCAGGGGAATAACCCCTGTGACCACCCCCCACATAACCCCACCCCTAGCGGGGACCCACTCTCCCCATCCCATCCCTTCCCACTTTATCTCGGGAGGGCCACGGGAGGATGTCTCTGACCTGGCTGGAGCTGCTCCGGCAGGCTAGGCAACGTGGCCACACCCTGCTCCAGTGGGCCAGACTGGGCGGCGCGGCCACAGCATGTTCCAGCGGGCTGGGCCAGGTGGCACGGCTGCAGTGTGCTCCGGCAGCGTGGCCACAGCCTGCTCTGGGGGGCGGGGCCGAGCGGCACGGCTGCAGCCTGCCAGCCCCGGAGCTGCAGCTGCTTCAGAGGCTGGGGGGAGAGCAGCGTGGCCAGAAGCGGAGAGACTCTGGCCCCGCCTCTTCCCTTCTGGCTCTGCTGGCTGTGCTGCCTCTCATTGCTCTCTCTGTTGGGCGGAGGGGCTGTGTCCCACCTCTCCCTCTCTATACCCGTTCATAAGCCGACCCCCTTCTCTGGTGCTTCTCTTTTTTACTAAAAAAAATTTGACTTATGAATGAGTATATACGGTAGTTGTTTGTCTTCCATGGAACTACTCACATGAATAAAGATAAACACATGTGTAAGTGTTTTCAGATGGGGACTAAGTGTATATATACAGGGACCATATTAGACACCCTCTCCTCATCCCCCTCACACCACTTTTTCCTTCTTCTGCACAAAATATAAATTAATATTTTGGAACAATTTTGGGAAATGTACTGTATTTTAAAATCTCAAGTTTTAGAATCAATGGATTTATCAATGAGGAATTAATACTTTTCCCACTCTCCGACAGAAGATGAGGAGCTATTATTGTAACAATTACATTTCTACACCCAAATAGTTAAATGAAGGAGTTTTTTGGATTTAGCTCACAGGGAGAAATTTAGGCCCTAACTGTGAATATATTTTTCTAAATAGATGAAAGCTTAAATCCTTTAAGACATATCAAGGCATCACAAGTGTTTAAAGATTAAATTTAAAGAGTTAAGTTTAAAGATTTTATTAAACTTTTATTGAAAACAATTGTAGCAAACACTTTAAATGTCCACATATGCTCAATATTTCTGCTTTGCAATCGTTTACAATGCCTCTAACATACTCAATGCTGACTTATAAGGAAAGCTGTCACCTATTAGATTACCAAAAGTTAATTCCTCGGGCATGCAAGTGCTCCTTATAGGTCTTCCATTTTAGTACTGACAAGCTGAGACTTTGTTCCTCTTGCAAGAGCTGACAGGAAGATAATACAAAATAGGATGGCTACATACTTCATAAATCTAAGCGTATATTAATTATTGCTTTAGGGAAACTTGTCTGGCAAAGTGCAATGATTGTTTTGATCCTGACTTTGTTTACTGCATGTGGACTGTCACAGACTATACAATTTCAGCTGAGAGCTCTAATGCTTACATTCTTTCACACAGTGCAACTGGAGGAGGAAGGAAAAACAGGAGAAAAAGTTTAACGGCTTGTTTACACTTCAAAATTTACCAGGGTAGCTATTGTGGAATAATTATTCCAGAATAGTTATTTCAGTATTAGCCTGAGTGGACACTCTGATCCTGGAATAGGAGTGACTTTCTCTCATTTTGGTATTTTGGTAAATGTCCAAGGGTAGACAAGCCCTACGAGAAAAACAAATTGCTGCAAAGAGATGTTAAGTGTAGTAATCTCTTCACAAAAGGGAATTAAGTTTATTTCCTTTCACATCTTTAAATTGTATAAGGAATATATATGTATATGCACAATAAATATAGAAGTGAAGCAATCCATTGAGATCGGAAGTTTGTCAGTAAATGAATGTATCCAGGTTTAACAACAGAAGTACTGTATTACAAGTCTTTGTGAATAAGGAAAAATAAGCATTGGAGGAGAGCATCTGGAGTTGTGACCTTCTTGTCAAATATGAACTGATTTGTAGTTTTTAATTAAAGCCCTGGGGAAGAGCTCTTGAAAAGTTGCCAGACAGTGGAGTTTATTTATATTTAAACTGTATTCACTGTCTCATGAAAGGAGCTGAAATCGGATGGGTAGGTTGAAGTGAAATATAGGATTTAGTCTCAGAACTCTCTGGCCATTGTGGCTTTTGCATGTTCTCTGGCTCCTGAGAATAGCAGCAGCATCTGCTACCAACCACTTGAACGGACTGGAAATCTTTAATTCCAATGCATTACATTCAGACAAGTTCAAAATTTACAACCTGCTTGTAAGCACAATTAACAAAGCTCAGAAAAACATGCCACGAAGCATAAGGGATCATAAATACAAATGTATTTGCACACACAGCTAACCATATCTGGGGTTATATTTTTGGTGATACACAACCCTAAAATACTGAAGTCTAATGACTTTACCAAAGTCTGCACTTTAACACTGATTAAAAGTATGAAGCATATGCCTGTAGATTACTTTTTTTTTTTGGTAAACTTTTAGGTTTCATTACCTTTCTTCCATGTAGACAAGAATGTGAATAACTGAATAAACTGATCCAAATTTATCAAAATCCCTTAGATGCTGAGTTGCTGAAAAGCCTACTGTCTCAGAAATTCAGACGCCAGTGCCAACAGTTATATGTTATTGAGACAGGGGGAAACAGAGGCCTACCCTACCACCAAAAATCCCCTAACAAAGAGCAGGGAAATCTAACAGGAAAGTTGTTGCTAGAACTCTAGGAAACAAAATTAATTTGGGCCCAATATAGGTTCTGACAATAGTGAAATTTTACAAAACGTTTGTTTATACTCCAGTACTAGGTACTTCACCAACAGGTTTGAAGAGAAGGTTCCTGCTCTGAATGACTTACAAGTTTAAGAGACCCTATTTGCAATCTTACAGCACTACAGTAGCAAGATGTCCACCAAGAGTCTTTGGATTTAAATATTCTATTGTGCAATCTAAAGATTACTAGTTCATGAGAGCAAGCAAATAAAACTGACTAAGAAGTGAAATGCAAAAAATAAATGAACATACATGAAATAACGCAAATTAGCTTTTAGAGCTCAATTTTTGTTTTTCAAAAGGGCTTTTAACAATATGGATCAGGCCCTGTATTTAGAAAGGTATTTATAAGGGTGATTTCTAAGGAGTAAGATACATTGCAAGGGGTCCTTCTGCTCAGATTAAATAGAACTAGCCAGTGGTTGAAGAAAGGACTGAATTTAGGCTAGAGGAAGAGCCTGGGCTGGATAGAAAAATGCCTAGACAGCAACAGAGCTCTGTAGCGTGAGAGTCCTTGGCAGCAACAGGCTGAGTGCCACAGACCCATGCAGGTGGGCAGCTCACCTCTGTGCCTGTCTGTAGCACTGCGGAAGGGGGTGGCCTGTCACCCTCCATACCCCCAGCGCTGCCCTCCCCAGGACCATCCTCCAAGGGCCCGGGTCTGACCCGGCACTTTGCAAGGCGCAGCAGCCGGTGCCGCCGCCGCCGCCTTTCCCGGACAGCTGCCGGCATCCCATCCGGAGCGCGGGGCACAGCAGCCCTCCCTCCCCGCGGGGCAGGCACTGACCTGAGGGTGCGGTTGCCGGGGCAGCCCCTGCGCTCCATGGCGGCGGGCACACAGCTGGTGAGCTCGGTCCAGTCGGCGTGCAGCCCGCAGCTCCAGCCAGTGGAGAAGCGGGAGAAGAGCCAGGTGTCCTTGTCCCCCCCGGGCCGGTGGCAGGTGCATTTCTTCTGGCCGGCGCGGCAGTAGCAGGGCTGCTCCAGGCGGATGTTGCGCACCAGGTGCCGCCCGAAGGTGGTGCCGCCCGTTTTCTGGATGTGCAGGAAGACGATCACGTCGCGGCCCCGCATGTCGAACTGCACCCGGCGGCACAGCTCGGCCCGCGCGAACGGGAACTTGGGCACCAGCCGCGGCAGCGCCGCCGCCCCCTCCTCCTGCGGCTGCTGGGCGCCCCGGGCCGAGGCCCCGCGGTGCGTGGCGGGCGGGCGGCGCGGGCAGGCGGCGCCGGGGCAGGACGGGGACACGTACTGGTACATGATGAGCACGAAGAGCAGCGTCAGCAGCGGCGGCAGGAGCCACTTGTGGAGCCGCTCGTCCATGGTGCGGGCTCCGGGCGCGGGCTCAGGCGGGGGGCAGGCGCCTGTCCCGGCGGGCGCTGCTCGGCTCTGGCAGGGCGGCCGCTCCCGTTGCCTCCCTCCCCCGCCCGGGCACCGGCATGGTCGCTGCGGCACCTCCCCTCGTTGCCGCTCGGGCGCCCAAGCAGCAGCGGGGCGCGGACGCTACTGAAGCGGCGCTTGGCGACTGCAGCGCTGGGGCTTCGGCAGCCCGAAGTGGTCGCGCGCGCTGTCACGGCACGAGGCTGCCGCAACAGACTGAATAACTGTCAGACGGCAGCGCGACCTCACGCCTCAGCTCCTCCAGCACCTTGCTAACCCAAACACCCCGTCCGCGGGGCGGGGCGGGGCGGGACGCCGCCAGCCAGCCAATCCCTGCCAGGCGGCTCCAGGAACAGCCAATGATAGCGGCCAGCGCTCCGGCACACCAACCAATGGGAGGCGGCAGCGAAAAAGAGGGCGTTCTCCATCCCTGCAGGTACCAGACGGAGACCAATGGCTTTTGCGAGGGGCTGCTGCACCACCCAATGAAGTACGGGAGGAAGGGACGGGCGACAGCCAATAAAAGAGGAGAAGCTGCTCTTCCACGTGTTACTGCTGCCTAGGCAGGTGGGCTGTTACTAAGGGAGTGGTAATCGTGGGCGGCATGTGGTACCTGCAATAGCGCGGTAGCGGTTCCGTCACCACAATCTATGGTACTAAATCTCTGCACCGCCAGGTGCCCAGAGCAGAGAGCAAAGCGAGGGTCAGTGGGTGTTCGCATTGTATCTGGAATCCCAACGTCCCCCAATCATGAGATTGGTATAAAAATTATATATATTTTTACATAATAAACTTGGGTAGGGGAAGCATTTATTTGTTGAGTTATCTTCCCCCCCCCCCTTCATGATTTTCCCTAAAACCATGAGGGTTAGAGACTTTTTTAAGTGCAACGGGGGCTGCTTATACAATCTGACATCAGGACCTGCGATACTAAAAAAAAAACCCACCATATATTACTAGACTTATGATAAAATTGCAAGCTTTAGTAATACTGTGACGTGGGCTGGTGATCTTAGCCCTTTGGAGCTATGTTTGAAACCTGAGACCAAGGAATAAACTTAAATCTTTTAGACTCCCGTGTGTCACCCACTAGTTAGGTGGTATCAGGAGTAAATGAAACAGTTGGTAAAAATTGAACAACTTGAATCCTTCAGTCTGGAAGGAAACCTGGCAGAGACCACTTCCAAGTAGTCTTGGGAGAAATGATATTGAAAATTTTAAAAAGTTAAATATTCTACCCAGCTACATATGGCAGAGACATTAGAGAGCTACAGCAGATGCCAGTGAGACCATGAAAGGGACTCTAAACTGCAAGTCACAGTCATTCAGAAATTTCAATAATGTATCAATCCACGCAAGAATGCCACTTGGGCAAGGCACTTTTTTTTTTCCAAATAAGAAACCAGCTGCCATATGACATCTGGAGAGACAAGGTGGTTGATGTAATATCTTTTATTAGATCAACTTCTGTTGGTGAAAGAGACAAGCTTTTTAGGTACACAGAGCTCTCCCTCAGGTCTGGGAAAGTTACTCGGAGTGTCATAACTAAATACAAGATGGAACAGATTGTTTAGCATAAGTAGTTAATATGTGTAGTAAGAGACCATTAAAAGTGAAGTGCCTCTTAACACCTTTGAAGGCATAGGATGAAAAGGGGGGGGGGTTAGTGGGTTATAGATTGTTGTAATACAGCATAAATCCAGTGTTGTTATTAAAACCATGATTTTTAATGTCTAGCAAAGTTATAAATTTAAGCTCTGAGGCTCATATTTTGAAAGTGTTGTGCAGGTTCCTTTGAGGATAAGGACTGAAAGGTCAGATATGGAGTGACTGTTCTGTGAAAAGTGTTTACCCATGGGTGATACAGTGGTTTTGTCTTTTATCATTTTTCTGTGAGAGTTCATTCAAGAGCGTAATGATTGTCTGGTTTCACCCATGTTGTTATTGGGGCATTTAGTGTACTGGATGGGGTACACCACATGTTGTCATAGGCATGTTGTCAAGGCTGTATCCCCACTTTGAACTTTAGGGTACAAGAGTGGGGGCCTGCATGAGGACTCCTAAGCTTATCTACCAGCTTAGCTCTGGTCCGCTGCCACCATCTCAAGAACTCCCTCCCTGGGAAGCCTTGAGAAACCTTTCACCAATTCCCTGGTGAACACAGATCCAAACCCCCTTGGATCTTAAAACAAGGAAAAATTAACCATCCCCCCTCCTTCCTCCCACCCTCCTTTCACCAACTCCGGGTGAATACAGATCCAAACCCCCTTGGATCTTAAAACAAGGAGAAATCAATCTGGTTCTTAAAAAAGAAGGCTTTGAATTAAAGAAAAAGGTAAAAATCATCTCTGTAAAATCAGTATGAAGAATAACTTTACAGGGTAATCAAACTTAAAGAGCTCAGAGGACCCCCCCCCTGTCTTAGGTTCAAAGTACAGTAAACAAAGATAAACACTCTGGTAAAAGGTACATTACAAGTTGAGAAAACAAAGTAAATCTAAGACGCCTTGCCTGGCTTTTTACTTACAAGTTTGAAATAGGAGAGACTTGTTTAGAAAGATGGGGAGAACCTGGATTGATGTCTGGTCCCTCTCAGTCCCCAGAGCGAACAACCCCTTAAACAAAGGACACAAAACAAAAGCCTTCCCCCCCCCAAGATTTGAAAGTATCTTGTCCCCTTATTGGTCCTTAGGGTCAGGTGTCAGCCAGGTTACCCGAGCTTCTTAACCCTTTACAGGTAAAAGGATTTGGAGTCTCTGTACACAGAGAGCTGTTACCCTTCCCTTTATAGTTATGACACATGTGTAAGACTCATGGATCTTAAAAGGTGTGTTGTGGAGGTACTGATAATTGTAGCAGTGGATATATGTCTGCAGGTTTTGCATCTGTTGTTATGGCAGGGTCTGGTGTTGCTTTGATTTGTTGAGTCTTGGTCTGTTGGGACCTTGCTTCTGAAGATGAGCTTGGTGAAGTTGGTGGGTTGTTTGAAGGTCAGAAGATGAGGTTCTGGAAAAATTTCAGATGGTCCACACTGAGTATGGGTTGTAATTATTTGATGATATCCCATATCGGTTCCAGTGTGGAGTGGTAGGTGACAACTAGAGGAATGTGGTCAGAGTGGGTTTTTTCTGTATTGAAGCAGGTTCTCTAAACATATTTGGGTGGCCTGTTCCATACTTTCCTGGTGGAGTGTCCCTGTTTAATAGAGGTGGTTTAAAGTATGTTAAGTTGTGTATCCCAGACTTTCTCCTCAGAACATGTTCTGTAGTATATGAGTGGCTGTAGATTACCGATTTCTTGGTCTGTTTGTGGTGGTTATGGGATCTGTGGAGGTAAGTGTGGTGATCCGTGGGTTTCTTGTATATAGTTGTCTATAGGGTTCCACTGTCAAAGCTGATCATGGTATCCAGGAAGTTGATGCTAGTGTGAGAGTGTTCTAGAGAGAGTTTGATGGATGGGTGGTGGTTGTTGAAGTTGTGGTGGAAATATCTGAGGTAGTTTAGGTTGTCTGTCCAGAGGATGAAAATATCATCAATGTATCTCAGGTTTATTATTGGTTTTGTGATGCATTTATCCAGAAATTCTTCCTTGAGGTTGCCCATGAAGATGTTGGCATATTGGGAAGCCATGCTAATATCTATGGCTGTTCCTAAGAGTTGGAGTAAGTGTTTGTTGTTGAATGTAAAACTGTTATGGGTGACAATGAAATGGATGAGTTTGGTAATGTGTTTGGGGTGGATATCTCAGTGACATAAATTGTCTAGTAGATATTTGAGGCAGGCAGAGACGCTGTCATTGTGAGAGGTGTTGATGTATAGGGAGGGGACATCCATGGTGGCAAGAATGGTGTTCTGAGGGAAGTTGTTAATGTTGTAGATTTTTCTGGAGTAAGTCAGTTGTGTCCTGGAGGAAGCTGGACCTTTGTGTGGTGAATAGTTTGAGCCTGGTTTCTGTGAGCCTTGATATTCCTTTGGAAATAGTGTCATGGCCAGATTTGATGGGTTGCCTGCATTCCATTGTTTGTGTGTCTTGGAAGCATGTAGAAGGTCGCTGGTGTGGGCTCTTGGGGTGAGGTTATAGAGTTTCTCTTGGAGTTGTTTGGGGAAGGATTTGGCGATATCCTTAAATCCCTGGGTGAATTATGGTGTGGAGTCTTTATAGAGTTCTTTAAGTAGATGGTGTTGAAGACTTGTCAGTTGGCCTCGTTAATGTAGTCATCACTGTTGAGACCTATGATGAGACCACTGACGGTCATATTATAGATCTTTGTTATATATATGTAATGCTGAACAGTAAACAGATGTCAAGTATCAGGGGGTAGCCATGGTAGTCTGTATCCACAAAAACAACAACGAGTCCGGTGGCACCTTAAAGACTAACAGATTTATTTGGCCATAAGCTTTCATGGGTAAAAAACTGAATTGCATCTGAAGAAGTGGGTTTTTACCCATGAAAGCTTATGCCCAAATAAATCTGTTAGTCTTTAAGGTGCTTGTTGTTTTAGTAAATAGATGCACTATTTAGAGACTATATTATTTGTGGTAATGTATTACTATTTGTGGCTATTTTTAATAACGAAGATGAAGCAAAACTGCAAATGCATACCAACATATAAAAACGGGATATTAAGGTAAATAAATAGCAAAGATTGTAATAAATGAGACAATCAGAATACAATGCAAAGTTTGTCAAGTACAACGGCTGCTGTATCATCCACTGTAAATCATTTTTAAAAGCATTTCATTGTCAGCACAACTTTCAAAGAAATACAAAACCAAAATACATTCATGAGCCTAGAACAAGAGGAAATATTTCTAATGATGCTACAGAAAGAGAGTGTGAAATCTTGGCCCCACTCAAGACAATGGAAATGGAGGTCATCCAGAGTTTTATTGGGTGTTTTAATAAATTTACAAAGTAAGGTTCTACAATAGATTTTTTTC